TACCATGTGTTGAAGTGACAACACACATTTGTTTAGGGCAAAGACTTAAATTGACCTTACACAAGTTTGAGGCATGACTAAACCCTAAATGACCTCTGATGACTACAATGTCTTACTATTGACTAATGTGACATGTCTAGCACACTAGGGTTTGGACACTACTATTTAAACACTTTATTTGTGGTTGATATGACAAACACAATATTATGTCTACATCATATTTTCTACGAGATTTAACAATCGCAGACGTAAACGGGTTTGGTTGTTACAAGAGCGAAAATATGATTATAAGAATGAAAGATTTTTTGATCTAAAAGAATATTATGCAGGAATACGATGAGAGTGGGCTTTTCGTGCTAAAGAATCAGACAAATTATTCACACAACTAAGAGAATTTGACATACTAGTGTCTCGTAGATGATCACTAACAATGCAACTCTAGAATAAAGAAGACTACGAATCAACAGTAAAACAAGTTCGAAGAGAGAATAATAGAATGTTGGTTCGTATGTCTCGCTATTATATGCTCAAACAAGCCAAAGACGTGATGAGAACTGCACATGGACGAGAGTTGATACCAATTGAGCAAAATAATATATTTTCTAATACACAATACTTGTCAGATGATTATATGTCTAATGAAACTTAACAAAGTATGCAATTATTCATTTGGAAGATAGAAATCATGTGTAACCAGTGTAGTGTCAAGTCATGACAGTCCTTTGTATTTGAATTGTTATGTCATTACTTTATCATTGTGAAGTCATTTCATTGCTTTATCAGTGTAGTTAGTTTAGTGTCAAGTCGTATCAGTCCTTTTGTAATTCACGAGTTATATCATTATTTTATTAGTGTGAAGTCATATTATTACTTTATCTGTGTCAAGTCATGTTAGTCGTACCCAGTAATTATCTTGTCAAATTTATATATAATTGTATTTCGTGTCTATACAAACCATCATTATTAATTATGTATATCATAACCTAAAAAATGTCTAGACGTACATCTAGTAGGCAATCCAGTCAAACCATCCAAGGTTTTTCATCACGCAATGAACAACAAAGTTCATCTTCAACCAACAAATATGAATGCTCTATTGGCCGAGCAGCATTGTCGAACGTAGTTTATTCAATTGAATCTTACACAAATGCTATCGGTGTAACTTGGTATGGACAAAACCTAAGTTCCGTAATAAGCCCATCGACTGTTATCACTCATTCGGTCAAGTTTGACACGTATTTGTTGGGTTTGTGACCGACTATCCACCTCCGAGTGTTCGTATCAAACCCACTTCAAGATGGACACAATTATATGACGAACGTTGTGAACTTGAAGTATATTGCCGTTGGCATGAATTAATGGTACCAAAGGCATGTTCGACTGATATATATGATCCACAATACTCTATCAACCATAACGAGATCACAGCAAGACTTGAACGAGAAAATGACCAGATGCAGTGTAGACTTGATCGATTTCATGCAATCAAGCATGTAAAAAATGAGCACTTTGATTCTAATTATGCTGAAATTCAAATTTTACAGGATCCGTTATTTGTTTTAGATACTGAACTTTCTGATTATTCTGATTTAAGTAATGATGCGTCTGATACTTTTAGTTCATCGAATTTATGTGTACTCAACAACCCTTTATGTTATTTTTTACATCAACCATAATATTGACAGACTGTATTTTTCACAACCTCATGTAATAAAATTATTTTGTTTAATGTATAAATATATTTTTCCATATTTTTGATGTTTTGTACACTTTTATAGGTCAACTCTTTTTGTTCGACGAACTTATAACATAACATTGAAATTGACAATTTTTTAACATATATAAAACAAATTTCTCAAAATTAGTCATAAAATTTATGTACTACACACACAAACAATATTTTAATCATTTTTTGGTAATGTACTACATTGAATTAATTAAATTTTTTTTAATTTATGGCTTAATTTTTTAGTAGCTTTCAAAATTTATAAATTTTTGTGCGAAACACGCTTTAATAATATTTTTTTGTTATAACAAAACATGACTGAACAAAAAATTTTATATATCATAAAAATAATTCACAATCTCGTAAGTTGTGTTATTAAAAAAAATAGAGGGTTTTTTAGGGTTATTAAGGGTTTTTTTTTTTTATAGTTTTTTAAGGTTTATATGATTTTTATTTTTTTGTAGACATCTTTTGAAAATGTCATTACAAGTGACGTTTTATGGGTCAACAATTTTAACGTCTGTTAAATTGCCCTTTGAAAATTTATTTTAAAAAACGTCATTAAAAATGACGTTTTCAATAAAAAAGACGTTTTTAATAAAAAAAAATCAATTTAAAAATGTTATTTCAAATGACGTTTTAACCCATGAAAGCGTCATTCTAAATAATGTTTTTAAAAAAAGACTGGATTTTGACAATAAGTTTAAAAAATGTTGGGTTTGAAAATAAAGATGATGGAGAGACTGAGTTTGGAGAAATACTCTGAAATTATGTGATTGGTCGCGGAAGTGGTGCTTTTTATGTTTGTGATTCAGAGTGCACCACTAAGCTAGACGAAGGGGCGCACGTGTGGTGGTCCCATTTTTGTTAGTGGGGGGTTGGCATGGGGGTGGGTTTTGTTCAATTTGGTTTTGATTTTGGATGATCATGTTTTTGATTAGTTTGATTTTGGATTGGGTTAAATTGAATTTAATTTTAAATTTGGTATATTAAATCTTGTGTGAAGGAGGGATTTTTTTTTTTTTGAAGGGAGAGTGGGTTTCACTATTATTTGAGAGTAATGTAATAAAGAGTAGAGAGAAAAGTAAAGTGGACATATACTTCGTCGTCACGAACCCATAAAGTTTTGATTTGTGTGTGAAGATGAGACCTCCAGTAGCATTTATGGTTGTTTTTAGAGGGACCGTGTTTGCAAGCGAGAATTGACAGATAGGAGAGAAGATGGTGATTAAGCGATTCAGGGAGGGATGTTTGGTTGCAAAAAAGAAAAAAAAAATTCGTAAGAAAGTGCACAAAAGAGAGAAATTAACAATAGAACATAGTGTGGGCGGCGGATCAGACGGACCTGGGCCAAAGTTCGTATAGGTATGTGTTAAACAGTGTAACATAAACTGTAGGAGGGGATCGGGGGGTGGATATTGTGGTGGGAGGGCTGCACAAACAAGCCGAAATTTAAACGAGAGAGATGTGTAATTAATATAAATTAGGGCAAACAATAAAAAGAATTTCAATATTTATAATATCGAATTGTCCCTGGCTATGTCACGTGCATGGCAGGTGGTGTGTTGACCAACCGAATACTAATTACTATATTCTACAAACTAAAGTCGGGAGTGTTAATCGAGACGAATTACTCAAGTTCAGTTCAAATAAAATTCGGCTTGAACTCGATTAGTATTTTAAAAGAGTTAAATTTGAACAATTTTTTAAATTCTTTTGAAAAAATGAGTTTAAATGCCTCTACTCATATATATATATATATATATATATCCTCATTGATTTAACATTTATATTAATTATTATTTAAATTTAATTTATTAATTAAATTTATTATAATTATTAAATTAATTATGAGTCCTAATATATTATGGGGTCTATTGTCAATCAAATAATTATATATGATTAGACTGATAAATTAGATACAAATACCATTACTTTTATTTTTGAGAATTCTATTTAATTCGGCATCATTTGAAAAATCAACCTTCCTTAATTAAGAGAGATGTGGACATTATTGGCCAGGATTTCTTTTGTGAAGGAGTTAATTTTTTGATAATAAGTTTCTAATTATAAATATAGATTTTGTTGAAGAATGACGTAGATCAAGATCAAATCATGAACATTATTGTTCTCCAACTCTCCGGTATGTTCTTACCTCTGGTAGTTTCTCGGTGAAAGGAATTTTTTATAACCAACAAACACAAAAAATAAGCTTTAAAAAAAAAAAAAACAAAACCAATCGGACCCACTAGCTCTGGCGCATATGTAATGTGGGGGCATAAAAGTTATAATAAGTCATCACACAAAAAGAAATGGAAATTTCTACTTTAATAAATCTTCTTTTTCTTCTTTGTTCATTTTCATGGTTAGAATTTTGGTGTTCTCATGACCAATCAAGCTATAAGAGTATCGTAATGTTCTTGATTATCTTTGAATTTTTTTGTTATTATGTGTGTGTGAGAGTGAGAGTGAAAGAGAGAGAGAGAGGGACCGCGAGAGTAGAAAAATAGGAGGAAGAAGGTTCCGAGAAAAATGGGATGTTGCATTATTTGTTAGCAGATAATCATCGGAGACCAAGAAAAAAAATCAAAGATTCAAGTTTTATTACAAGGGTAAAAATTATTATTTAAATAAAAAAAATTCCTCTGCTTTACCCTCCCCTCATATACAAAACAATGGAAGTTTATTACTCCAATTCTCTAATGATAGAGTACAAAGTATAACACTTTCTCCCCGATTGAAAATTTTATTTGTTCTATTTTACCTTTTTTGGTCCCTTCTATTAATTGACACGATCAAGTAAAGAGAGATCTTTTTCCCATAAAAGGGAGATCTTTTTTGTATGTTTTTTGGCTGGTTCCATAAAAGGGAGATCTGCTTGCAGTATTTTAATACCAATGTCCTTTTTATATTTTTTTCCCAGGTAAAATGATATGATCAAATTGGGCCGTGACCTAAATAAAGTGACAGACAAATTCAGTCCACAAAATCATTTTAGCTTAGCCCGGAAAGAAGAGGCCTTCTTCTAGTGTCTTCCAAGCCGAATAAATATAGTCCCTGGATTTCGTGAAGCTTCGCGGAACCTCAATATCCACGCCTATTTAATAAGCACCACTACTATCACTCCTCGCACAAGAACTTTATAGCACATATTCCAACCCAGTAAGAGGTCATCCCTCTTCTTTTGTTCTCTTCTCTATCTGAAGCCATATACTCCATTTCATTTTCATCTGATCTTCAGGATCTCTTTTCCCCCACATTTGTCGTGAGTAATATGGCTGCTGAAGTTGTGGCCTCAGCTGTTTGCAAAGCTATTAAGCCCGTGACTTTGCAAAGCAGGGCTTTTGTGACATTCCTGGCTGGTAATGGTGATTATGTCAAAGGTGTTGTTGGGCTGGCCAATGGTTTGAGGAAGGTCAAGACAGCCTATCCTTTGGTGGTGGCTGTATTGCCGGACGTACCAGCTGAGCACCGCCGTATACTAGAGTCCCAAGGGTGCATCGTCAGAGAGATAGAACCGGTTTATCCTCCAGAGAATCAAACCCAGTTCGCCATGGCCTATTATGTCATTAATTACTCCAAGCTTCGTATATGGGAGGTACGTACTTGTAGTTGTAGTTGTTACGTGGCCTGCTTACAATATTTATTTTACACGTGTCATTTTTTAATCCCCTCAGCTTTGTTAATTCATGTGGGGTCGACCCTGTCTCGTTAAATTGGTCGTTGTTATCCCTGATGATGGATGTCTTGGGCCATATAAGTCCAAGCATGCTTTGACCTTTTCTATATATGTTTGATGAACATCCTTGCCTTTTTGATTCAGTCTGTTGTTAAATATGTCGGTATACTAATCTGATTTTTTTAATTTTTTGGCGGTTTTGTTTGGTTTTGAGGTTACAGTTTGTGGAGTACAGTAAGATGATATATTTAGATGGAGATATCCAAGTGTACAGTAACATAGATCATCTGTTTGATTTGCCCGATGGTCATTTCTATGCGGTAATGGATTGTTTTTGTGAGAAAACATGGAGTCACACGCCACAGTACAAAATTGGTTACTGTCAACAGTGCCCGGACAAGGTCAAGTGGCCGATGGAGACGGGTCAGCCACCATCACTTTACTTCAACGCCGGCATGTTCGTCTTTGAGCCTAGCCTATCCACATATGCTGAGCTTTTGAGTACCCTCAAAATTACTACTCCCACTTCTTTTGCCGAACAGGTGAACTACAATTTTTTTAAGTATTAATTGTTTTTCTATATTTGTCACTCTGAGTGCTGCTTGTTTTGTCATTGAAATTTTTAACGTTATTTCGCACTGCAGGACTTTTTGAACATGTACTTCAGGGATATATATAAGCCTATCCCTCTTGATTATAACCTTGTTCTTGCAATGTTGTGGCGCCATCCAGAGAACGTGGAGCTTGACAAAGTGAAAGTTGTTCACTATTGTGCAGCGGTATATATTTTTCTTCCTTTCTAATCTGTGAAATTGACTCCGGGCGAATCATACTTGGCTTGTTAGTTTAGTTATGTGGTTTATAGTGCGTTCTAATATCATGATGAATTGGTAAATATGGACAGGGCTCAAAGCCGTGGAGATATACGGGTAAAGAAGAGAACATGCAGAGGGAGGACATAAAGATGCTGGTACAGAAATGGTGGGACATTTACGAAGATGAGTCATTGGATTACAACATGGACATGGGTGTGGCAGCCAATGCAGGCGTCGCCGAGCCTGTGATATTGCAGCCCTTGATAGCTGCAGCTATGTCAGAGGCTGGTGCGGTGCAGTACGTGGCCGCACCATCAGCTGCTTAATATTAGTTCAAAAGTTTGATTCATTAGTCTACCGTGGAAAAGTAGCTTGCAAGGGAGGCGTACCACCATAAGTCTTTGCCGTGGTTGTAAAGGCATCAGTGTGGGCCAGTGGGTGGGTGGTTTGAATGTGAATGAAATGCAATAGTGTGTTTTCAATCCAAATGCCATTTCCATTGTAATAACAAGTGTTGGGAATGATATGCATATTCTGGGTTTTTCTGGTATCTCTGAAATGCAAAGACAACGAGACCGGTGCACATGTCCTCGAACAATACAAATGGATCTAGGGGCCAGTATTACCGGAAATGGTCGGAAAATCTCTTGTAATTTTTATTTCATAATTTCTATTAGTGTCTCGAAACTTCTGCATAAAGCGTAGAGTAATGAGCATCCAAACAAGAGCAATATCATAATTAAGTAAACACTTTGTAATTGCGCTAGTTGAGGACGAAGGAAATGGGCCTAGTAAGGACCTACCGATTGCTGAATAGGAGTCCTTAAAGAGTTCAAAGATGCTATGCTATTATAGCTAGAAAGAACTGAGGAGATTATTGGGGGAGTTTTTTCTAGATATAGTTTGGAGAAATTTGAGCTTCAAGGTTGAAAAAGTAATGAGTTCAATTATTAATAGGGGGCAGGGTTTTGGTTTTTACACATTGTGACAATTGATACTGACAAGACATGTCACACTAGTCAAATTAGCAATTTAACTCTTTGAGATTCAACAAGTTCAGCTTAAAGTGGCTCCCATTCGATTAAGCTTATCAAGTTTGACGAGCTATATCAACAGGGGAGTATGTAGGGTTATCCAAGAGCTTCATAAATGTCACCTTAAAAATGGTCAATTCCTCACGTCATCATTTGATCGAATCTCATGGAAAGTACCATAACCATCTCGTCCGTTGAGAAGAGATTGTCAGATCTAACAGACTAGCCACTTAGTTATTAATATCTCTCCCAAATTTGTAATAAGGCGACTATAAATTGTAAGTCTCGCGCAACACTTAGGGGGCATCACACTCAGTCGAGCACAACTCTCATCTCCTTCTCAAAACTTGTAACTCTCTGCTTTCTTTACACACTTGAAGTAATAAAATATTCGGCGACCGTAGTCATTCAAAGTGAACGTAGGTCACGTTGACTGAACTACTATAAACCTTGTTTTGCTTGTGTCTCTCTTAATTATTGCATTTATTACTACTTATCAGAAAAGTGGTGTACAAATCTAATTTGTGTATCATCAGTTTGACGCCGTCTGTGAGAAAGACAAAATTCTCACTTTTGAGCACTTTCTTTATTGAATCTATGACGATCACCACCAGATCGATGAATCAACATGAGGATACTCCACCACGAGAGGAGGAGGAGGTTGCTTCTCCATCAACCAATCCTGTCACCAAATGCATAGCAAATGCTGGAAACAATACGCAGCTTGTAGCCCAAAATCAGCAGATTCTGTAACTCATGCTTGCTAGACAAGGAAGAGCACAGCCGGTTGAACCCCAAGCCAAAGGAACTCCATGCCCTGTGCTTCAAGGAGCTCCGGGCGCCCCCTTGGGAGCCCCGCATAGGGGAGCTTCTCATGAGGGACCTCTACCTCCTCTTCCAACTCTTGTTTCTCATGGTGGAGACCCTCTTTTCCAACAGGATGAGGGTGAAAATCAAAGTGTGAAGCATGAAAGTCATTTTCATGATAATTTCAAAGGAGCTCCCAACCATTGAGACGAAAAAATAAAAGAGGTACAAAATCAACTGGGTGATATTTTCAACGTCGTGAAGGTGCAAGGACCCAAGACGGTGGACTATCTCGTTAGGCGAATCGACACACCCTTCGTACCTAACGTGGAAAACTACCTACTTTTTCAGAAGTTCAAGATGTCATTCGTCGAAACCGTTGATGGTACTAAGGATCCATTAGATCACCTCAAGACTTACAAGACATTAATGCAGCTGCACAACTTCTCCGACAAAATTATGTGTAGGGCTTTCCCAACCACCCTGAAGGGATCAGCCCGATAATGGTTTGTCAAGCTCTTCCCAGCCTCCATTAGCTCTTTTGTTGAGCTAAGCAGGTCCTTCATGTCGCACTTCATCAGAGGGCGTCGTCATCACAAGTCTGTCACCCATATGTTAAGCATAAAGTAAGACTAAGACGAGAGCCTGAGGAGCTACCTCACATGTTTTAACGAGGAGATTCTCCAAGTTGAAGAGCCTGATGACAAGGTAACTATGACCACCTTCTTAGAAGGCCTCTGGTCGTCAAACTTCCTCTTTTCAATGATGAACCGTCCACCAAAAAGCATGCCAGAGCTTTTGGCAAAAGATCAGAAGTATATGAACGCTGAAGACATCACAAGGGTCAGACAAGGCGAGTCCTCCCGAATAAGCAAGAAGAGAAAGGAAAGAGACAGAGACGAGAAGAAGAAAAGTAGCAACAAGCGCAGAAGGACAGAGAGGATACCTGCCAAAGACCAATTTGGTCCTGCTCCTCAAAGAGATTGACAAGCCTTTATTCCCCTCAACGTCACTGTCGGACACATCCTATTCCAAATCCAGAATGACCCCGCAATAAAGTGGCAGGGAATGATGAAGTTTCCTCCAAACCACAAGAACCCGAACAAATATTGTCGTTTCCATTACAACCATGGCCGCGACACCAATGATTTCTACGACCTTAAGAGACAGATTGCAGAGCTTATACAACATGGTCACTTTCTCCAGTATGTTGCTAGAAGAAGTCAGGTTGTGACACCCCAAAATTCGGGGTGTCATTTGTCAACCATTGACTATCCATCAACTCGTGAAAATACTCGTGATCATCGCACAATCCGACATCACATTAATATCATCCCCTTAATCGAGATCACAAAACCCAAAATTTGGACGGAGTCTCCCTTGTACCAGGAACTCCCAATGCATAACTTGTATTCAAGGCATTCACATGACCTATTCGAGATCCAATATACAAAAATTTATCCTCAGTTAATGTCCATTTACATTATTTGAATAAGAGGACACAGCCCGAAAGCATGACACAACATTCTTAAAATTTGAGATTTTTGACAAACCTACCGATAGGTTTGTCATTGTCCTATCGGTAGGTTTTTGCCCACTGAAAAAGTTCTATTGGTAGGTTAATGTTCTATGTCCTATAGGTAGGTTTGTGCCTACTGGACAAAGTTCTACTAGTAGGTTAATGTTCTACCAATAGGTTAATGTTCTACCGGTAGGTTTTGCCTACTAGATAAAGTTCTACCGGTAGGTTAATGTTCTACCGGTAGGTTTGTCCAAATTTGCCTGTTTCACCTGTTTTTAATTTTCAATCCTATCAAATCCATCCCATAACCATTCAATACATGTTTAATGAAGTTTTTCACATGAAACATGATACCACAAATTCTATTACAAGCAATTCCGTATATTTGCATGCCAAAATTAAGTTTTCATAATAATTTTACAAAAACTCAAAATAAAGCCACATTTCGTCTTTTCCTTTTTCTTAAGAGTACGAATGAGAGTCGTCCATCGACGTGTATCCCGCATCTGAAATGTTGTCTCATAAAGGGTGAGCCACGCTCGATAGGGTATCACCTAAATAGGCTACTCCTCAACCTAGATGCATATAAAATGTTCACATGTGACAATCAACCATTCAAAACATTCCAATCAAGAATATACATTCAATGATAAGAATCCTATGTCATTCCATGAAATAAAATGAGATTCACTCATACACTTCAACTTGAGCACTCTCTGGCCCATTCAACACAATGTAATGGTAATGTGTAAAAATCTGTCATTGATGATATACGTCCAATGATCTTTTTAAAATAAAATCATGTGTCTTTGTCATAAAATAAAATATTGTGTCTTTGTTGGATGTTACACATTGAATGACTATTTTATAAAGCAAAATCATGTGTCTTTGTTAGGTAACAGAGTTTTGGTGTCACACCGCCGGTTCTGCACACTGATACACTGTTCTGGCATTTCACTTCAGGAAAGTGTATGAACAAGGTAGTCGGGTTTTCACCCAAGGGAGAATCTAGCCCTACTTGTTATACCCAACACAAGTTTTTCATACAACTGTGCAACTCAGTCAGAACTGCATTCTAACTTTTTTCGAACCCACCTATCATCTACCAAGTATAGTGTTTGATTCAACCATGCACACATACACCCACACTCATGTCCAATGCCCATGAATGTGATGCCAACATCATGTCCAATATGCAATGAATACTAAATGAGCAATTTCCACCAGTCTATTGCCAATTATATCAAAAACATATAATTTTCACACATTCATCATAATGCTAACATATCATAACGCATATATTAACATTATACCCAACATCAAATCTCAAGCATGTTAGCACATAATCTATGTCAATGACACACTTAATTTACATGGCACAATATAAACACATAGCATGCCCATATAATACCATTTTTTTAAGAATCACAAACTAGCAATTTTCATACATCAATTCAAGATAAAATTTATTCTACCTAATATCAATACTCATTTCCTCAATTTTTAAAACAATAGGCAAGGGTTATAAACATCTAACATCCTACTCATTCCATATACCCACCCTAGGTTGGAAATAAACCTAATTAGGGAGAAAACCCTACCTCTTGAAGCGAAAAACGACGTTGAGAAGCTTCAAGAACCCGATTCAAGCTAGAATCTTCACCTTCCCTAAAATCTCGTCTTGAAACTTCAGTGGAATCCATCTTTTTTAGTATGGACGCGTAGTCCTCGTCGAGAAAACAACTTTAATTCTTGGCTTGTGTTGATTCGAGCACCCAATCTCTGTAGATGTAGAGATAAGTTGTAGAGCTTTTTTTTTCCCTCTTTTCCTCCCCAATGTGAGAACCAATAGACCAAATGGGAGAAATCTAATATTTTTCCCCATTTTATACTCCCTAAACACTTGGTCCTCGTTGAGCCACATGACCCTCCTTTTTCGGGTTCGTTTTCGATCCAAAATGAT